TTAGGGAGCCGACTGTTCCATTATCCCTCTCAAACTTAAGCAGCATAAGAGACGGGATTATAACAGCCTTGGAATTATTCAGGGTTGGTCGACCCAGAATTATGTTGTAGGCCGAGAGTTCCTCTACTACTAGGAACCGGACTACCATGTGTCGTCCTTCCCCTTTTTCGCCCAGGCGAATGGGTAAATCTACTCGTCCCAGTGGGTGGACGACTCCTCCTCCAAACCCTATTAAAGGGTGGGAGGCCGGATGTATGCAGTCCGTCTGATATTTCAGTTTTGATAGACATTTGCTGCTGATGAGATCTGAGGAGCTCCCGGTATCTATGAGGATTCGGCCAACTCTCTGGTTGGCCACTTTACATTCAATAACGAGAGGGTCGTCATGCGGCCCCCTTACCCCTCCTAGATCCTCCTCAGTGATGACAATCTCAGGAAATGTATATTTGGACGGCCGTTCTTGGTGAACGGAATTTACATCCAACCGCCTTATATTATCTTTGTTGCCCCTAATCGTGGGGCCGCCTCCTGAGAAGCCGCCTGCAATGGTGTAGACGACTGCATCATCTGTATCGGAACTGTCGGCCTGTTGATTCTTTTTGGCCGACTGCTTTTTTGAGGAAGTGTTCCCCGTAGATTTCTTGACATAAGTGTCAAGATCACCTTGCTCAGCCAAGCGGTCTAGGTACCGCATGAGACTGATGCAGTCATTGGTGTGATGACCAACGTCATCATGATAAGCACAGATTTTGTCTTGGTTCCGGTTGTTTGCAGAACCCTTCATGGGGACCGGCTTCTCAATTGAGAACCGTCCCTTTATTTCTTTTAGGATAAACTGGTTATCCTTGTTAAACACATACTTTGGGGAGTATGGTTTGAATTCTTTTCTCTTTTTCTGGGCCGGCTGTTTAGAGGAATCAGCCGCCCAGACCTCTTTTCTTTTCTCATCTTTATTAGACGACTGTTTCTGTCGTCCCTCTCTTTTGTCGAACCTTTTCCCGTCCGACTGTTTTATCGTACACAGATCAGTCGCCTGTATATAGGCTTCTGCTTCAATCAAGGCCTCTTGAAGAGTCGCCACCCTTTTTCGAACTAAATCAAATTTGAAGGTAGACCCGTCTTTGAGACCTCTAAAAAAGTCAGTATAAGCTACCTCATCCGGTAACCCTTGAATCTGTATTCTCATCAGGTTGAACCGCCTGATGTAAGAACGAAGCCCCTCCTTCTCGCCCTGCTGAATTGTTCCCAAATCAAGGGTCGTTTTCTTCGCAGGGATGTTCATGGCGAAGTTGGAGGCAAATAAGTAAGCAAGCGTCCTGAAGCTGTTTACACAACCAGTCGGCAGGTTGCCGAACCATTGCTGTGCGATTCCCTTGAGAGTCGCTGGGAAACACTTGCACCAAGTAGGATCATCCAACCCTTGAAGGTACATCAGGTTGGTGAATGCCATCAGATGGTCTTCTGGATTAGTAGTGCCGTCATAGGCGCCTACTAGTACATTTTTTACTTTGGCCGGCTGAGCGGCTTCAGTAATTTCCTTGGAGAAGGCCGACGGCTGTTCACCAAGTCTAAGCAGCCGTAGCTGCCAGTCCATAGGTTGGACGTTTTTTGCTGCAGGTCCACCAAATGGAGGTGGCTGCATAAAATACTGTTGTTGCGGCACAAATGGTAAGTTTGGTACCGCCTGGGCACTATGAAAGTCGGACTGACGGGAGGTGCCGCCTGACTGACTCTCATGGTACGACTGAGTATGCCTCATCGAGGCATTTCGCAAACTGTCTTGAAAATTTGAAGTAGAAGCCGACTCTGACAATCGGTCACTCTTCTTCTGCTCTAGCAGTAGCCGAGCATCTGTGAACGTTTGCTTTGACCCGTCCGCCTGAATATGACGAACCGGTTTCCTATTTCCCGTAGGATAACGGAATTTTGTGAAATCAAGAGCAAGTGGCTCCCGCTTATTGGATTTAGGATGAGGAGTCGCCTCTCGCCCTTGAACTGGCTTCCTCTTCAGTGAAGTGGAAGGTTTTTTGGTCGACTGCTCTTTGACTGAAGCAGGCGGCTTTTTGTTGATCAACTCTTGAATCTCTCCCTTGAAGTCCCTCATGAAGGTCATGAGTTCGTTCCTTGTGATGGGAGCAGACCCATCAGTCGGCTGTTGCCGAGCAGGCGGTGCGCCTGCTGGCTCGCTTCCTGTTTGAAGATGCTCCCGTTCCCTTCTTTCGGTATGACGGGTACGTCGGGCCCTTAGGGTCCCGTCTGGAGCTGTATGAGTTTCCACTTCAAATTCACTTTCGGTATCATGGTCCGACTGAACTTGAGGGTCGTCTAGGGGACGCCTCTCTTCAGGAGTCGGTACAGACTTGGATGCCATCTCTGAAGTACTCTCCCCACAGACGGCGCCAAATGTTTCGGGGTTTTCTGATGTCCTGCGGGAGAGTTACAATTCCGAGACTGGAACCGGACGCCTGTACCTGCAAAATAACGGAGACTCCTGAGAGCTCCGCCTCCAACGATCAAGTTAGTACCTGATTAAGGAGTAATTAATACGGAAATTAAAGTAATAAGATCTCTCTAGGTGAGAGTGTTTGATGTTGGTAATCTGCGTCGTTAGCGAGATTAGCCGGTTATTAGAGTTCCGTAATGTTTCTGTTCTTCTCTAGATTTCTTGACTGCTTGACTGCTTAATTAATGAGGATTAATTAAGTATTTATAGCCTTGAGAAGCGTGCCACTCTCTAGGTTTAGGGTAAACCTAGGGCTGACCGGGCCTCTAGACTGGATTGGGCCTTGTTGGCCGGTTTTCCCATTTGGCATGGGTGGACACGTGGCGTGCCTCGATTGGTCCGTAGAGGACGTATCTGTGATTGACACGTGGCAGGCTCCTATTGGCCTTTGGGTTCGACCCTATACTTACCTATACTTGCTTTAGGTTGGTTTAGGATTTTATAAATAGTGTTTGATTTTGGAATAGGAAATTAACGACTAGTTTATTCCTTTATCAAAGACCCGGTCATACAAAGTCCAAGGCCTTTTCAAAAACCAAATCCTCATAGTGGGATTACTAACATGCTTATAAAGCATTAATAATAATAATTTAATGATTCAATAAATCCTCTTTTAAATCCAATAATTCAACCTTTAATGAAAACAATCCAAACTCCTTTTTAATAAATTCAACATGCTTTTAAAATCAATCCCTTTTTAAACATGAATAATAAATTAATTAATCAAAACATGTTATAAAAATAAATACTCCAATTTAATTATTAAAACCAATCTTTTAAACATACTTTTATTTCATAAACCATAATTCAAGTCAATTTAGTTTAAGCAACATAAATCTTTCAAACATGTTCATTCAAATCGATCACTTCCAAGGTATCTAGCCACCTAACGTACCTTGATCCTTTCTTAGCCAAAAATTACTTCAAGAACTCTCAAGTAGCTTGATCAAAAACACCCTACAAATAAATATAACATTAATTAATATAAGGTTATAAAATAATCACAAACAATTAAATTAAACCCTCCCAACTATATGTACATGAACCTTTTAAATTAATTCAACATAAACATCATTAAAATCTGATTTTATTTAATTAAAACTACTCATAATAATTTTATATTAATCTCCCATAATAATAATAATAATTGAATAACACAAAAGGAGAAGAAAGATAAGAAACCAAGGAGAAAGAAGAATTGGATTTGCGTTGGAAAAAGTAGGCAGAATTTGCAGAGGCTATAACTCCTTTGTTATAGCTTCGAATTGGGTGATTCTTGAGCCTAAACTCAAGTATTTTTCAAGAGTAAAAAGTTTCTGTGAAATGTCAATACCCCAAAACCGACAAGAAGTTCTCGAAAATTGGCTTCAAATATAAATGGGATAATTTGTGTAAAATTGAGGAGAAGAAAAGAAGAGAATTGGTGTGAAGAATGTGAGAGGTATGAAGGGGTATTTATAGGCTAGCTCATGAAAGAATTATGGTAGGAAAATGTAGGAATAATTATTGTACATAGGGTTTAAGGAATTACTTGGAGAAGTGAGTAAAGATTTAAGGAAAGTTTTAATATTGAAGAGATTATGTATAATTGAATATGGAAGGTATGGATGTCATGAAAATATTAAGGAAATTGGAATTACATGGAGAATAATTTAGAAGAATGAATGGAAAGAAAATATAATTATTTGATATTAAAAAGATAGAGAATTACAATTAAAGAAAATAGGAGATTTGAAGGAGATAATTAAAAATACAAATTACCAAAATATTTTTCCCAAAATCTACATGGGATGGCCGAAATTTTTTAGCTTTCCTAAGCTCATATTTTTGGCCCTCCTATTTAGTATTTAGGACATTATTTTGCTAGGTTTAAGGAATTAAAATAATTGTGTATATGATATTTATTGAATTAAATAATTAAATAATAAAATACCAAATATTCACCAAAAATTTAACTAATAAATTCAGATTTTAACATAGGAACATCCGAAACTTATTAGTCAAACAAATGGGATTTTCGGACTTATTAAAATAATAATAAAATATAGCTTTTGCAATAATTAAAATATCCGAAAAATATAAATAATCCGGCTGTTAAAATAGTATAAATGGATAATAAATCTTATCAAAAATAATAATTAGTTTTTAAAATACTTTTGGCGCCAAAATACAAATATCATTTTGGCTCCAAGATTTAAATAGTAAGTTGAATTACTAAAATACCCTTTTTAGAAAATACGTTTGAAAATACGGGGTATTACATCCCTTAAAATAATTTGCAACCCGAAACTTAGCAAAAAAAAACGAAAATCATTTTGAAATAAGACTCGAAATCAGTCAAAAATAACTCGAAATGCAGACGAGCGAAACTCTATCGCCCTTTACCCCCCTTAAAAGGAGTTACGCCCCCGTAACTCGACCACTAACCTTAGGCAAAGAACTCCGGGTAGCGTTTCCTCATATCAGCCTCAGCTTCCCATGTAGCCTCTTCAGTTTTTTAATTTGACCACAACACTTTCACAATGCTCACATCCTTATTCCTTGTGCTCCTGACCTTAGAGTCAAGAATTTTTACTGGTCTTTCCTCAAAGATCAAATTATCATCCATCTCAATGGTTTCTAGTTGTAACACATGTGTCAAATCAGGAATATACTTTCGAATTTGGCTCACATGGAACACATTGTTAACCCTTTCTAGCTCACTAGGCCAATCCAACTTATAAGCCACTTTCCCCACTTTCTGAATGATCTCATATAGACTTATGTACTTTGGGCTTAGCTTTCCCTTCTTTCCAAACCTCATCACCCCTTTCATGGGTGAAATGTTCAACAAAACCTTCTCTCCCACTTCATATTCCTCTTCCCTCCTTTTAAAATCAGCATAACTTTTCTGTCGATCTTAAGCTGCTTTAATCTTTTCTTGGATCAACTTGACCTGCTTCACCATATCCTCAATCATCTTTGGTCCAAGAGCCATAGTCTCACTTATATCATTCCAACACACTGGGCTTCTACACTTCTGACCATACAATGCTTCGAACGGTGTCATTCCAATGCTTGCATGGTAACTATTGTTGTAAGAGAAACCTATCAAATCCAGGTGGTCTTCCCAAGACCCTTGATACTCCATCACACAAGCTCTAAACATGTCCTCCAATGTCTAAATCGTTTGGACCATTTGACCATCTGTCGCTGGGTGAAATGTTGTGCTCATTAACAACTTAGTTCCCATTGCCTTTTGCAAACTTTGCCAAAAGATAGACAAAAATCTTGAATCTCTATCTAAAATGATATCCGTGGGTACCCCATGGTACTTCACCTCAAACCTCACATATGCTCTTCCCAACTGATCCATGGTCCTAGTACTTCTCATGGATATGAATGCTGCTGACTTCGTCAATTTGTCCACTATTACCCAAATAGTGTCATTCCATGCCTTCGTCTTTGGCAAGGCTCCCAAAAAATCCATAGAAATCGAATCCCATTTCCACTTGAGTACCTCCAAGGATTGAACCTTTCCTTAAAGTCTACGATTGTAGGGAATAATTTCAAGCCTTTAAATCCCACTAGCTCGAACCCCACTGTGATCATACACTAAACTACGGTGGCATCCAAAAGGGAAAAAGATAGAGCAAAAGAGTCGCCGACAAGTTTTTAAGGAACTTGTAAACCGTTCATAGGATGAAGGTTACACCCCTTAAAGATCCAAGAGATCGTCAACTCCATAACGTCATGAACCAAATAAGGGTTCGGGGATGATGGTACAAATCCAACCTAAAAGAGATTGAACCTACCCTAATAATAGGCCTCTACTTTATTCTGATCGTATTCATGTGCGCTTTCTGACTAACATACAAGCAATAAGATTAACCCTAAACCTGTTTAATCTATGTTGGTTGAATTTAATGCACAAATAAACTATTATTGGCGATCACTTGAAATTATAATCACAATTAACCTAACAAGATTATTAATAACTTATTAAGCGTGATTGCAAGTACAAATTCCCTTTAACATGCAATAAAAGGTGATCAAGCAATAACAATAAATAAAATATATCAAGCAACACAATAAATAATCAATATCATTAATAATAATAATAATAATAATGACCATGTTAAAGCATAGCAAGATCCTAGGCATGATACTAACAAGATTAATAACAAACCCTAGCATGTCACTAAGCAATAAAAATCAAATCTTTAACCCTAACATGATACTAACATGAATAAATATTAGGAAGAGAATGAAAGGCATCATACTTTTAATCATACTTAATATTAAAGATACCCTAGACATGATACTAGGAAGATCAAAACGCCCTAACATAACATTAGAAATCATAATAACAACCTAAGCATGATTTCTACATCATAATATCAATTAAACCAATAAAGTGCTTACGTGGATGCCTCGTACCTCTTTCTAATAACAAAATACACACGTTAGTAACTTCATGCAAAATAATAATCAAACAATTAAATTAAATATTTGAAAGAGAGATTTGGGACCAAACCCTCAAAAATTAAAACCTTTCACGTCTAGGGCGAAGGAAACTTCGAATATGGCTAAGTGTTTCTAGATCTTGTGAATGCGGAATTTTGTATTTGAAAAAGCAAGGAAGAATGAATGAATGTTAAGAATTATTGATGAAAGAGATGAAGATGATAAATGAAGAGAATTGATGAATAATTTGTTAATGAAGAGAGTTGATTATTGGTAATTGATAAAGTGCTTGTTGATGAATGATGATTGTAGATGATGAATGAAAATGGAGTTTTAAATACGATATTTATAGAGAAAATCATCAAAAAAAAGATAATTTATCAAAACAGAGCCTGAAGATCGAAAACCAACTTGGCGCTAGCCCTGGCTCGTTGGCGCCAGGACTAGTGGCTAGCGCCAGGCGCCAATGGCTGGCTTCTGGCGCCAATCCTGATTCCAGGCGCCAAGGCCTGGGGTTGGACGCCAAATTGGATTTCAACGCGTTTTCGAAAATCTGATAAATTTCCAGTACTGGAAGATAAAAAAATATAATTTCAGTCGAAAATGCTATTTGATCTTGATTAAAACTCTGAAGAATCCTAATTTAATTAAGAATGATAAAACCTTCTAGAATGTTCAAGAAGACTAAAACCATTCCTAATTACATTAGGAATGATAAATCATATTAGGCCCTCCCCTAGATCATTGGGCCGTACTTAAAGCTCAAACCGGGCCCAGTTTAGTAAATTGACCATAACTTCCTCAATATTCATCGGAATTGGGCTTATAATATATTGTTGGAAAGGTCTTTGCAATCCCCATCCAACTACACCACTATTGGACCCATATCATGGACCAACCAAACTGGATTGGCTGTTTTCTTAAAATAAAGTTTTCAAAAACATGAGAAAAGAAAAGAAAAGAAATAAAACTTTCCGCAACACCAGACCTTTCCACACTTTCGTTTCATTCGATTATGATTCGACGTGAAAGGCACTCATCACTGGGTTTGGTTTTGGGGAGACACAAATAGGTGTCTACAGAAGCCCTCACTTTGACTGAGTTTGGAGAAACGCAAGTTTCGAAAACGAAAGTCAAAGTAACGATAGGGACGGAGAATGATTTAGAACGTTCTGCGATCCTAAATCATTCTTGTAACGCCGATACCTACAAAACTAGCGTTATTTAAACAGATAAGAGAGTTAAGAAACGCGTATCTTGCACCGTCGAGCACACGTCTCTGAAAGTAACCGATTGTTGCTGTTGCTGCTGTTTTGATTACCTCCTGCAAGCTAGAGAATGCCATCCCGCTTGAAAACCACTACGCCCGTAACTGCTTCCAAATTAGAAGATTGCTTCGCTTGAAACTACCTTCTCCGCTGTGATAATATTCCACGTCCAAGGGAACACCATCGAAGATTATTTCTCTTGAAACAATCCTCAGTTGTTTGTGACAACTCTCCACAATCTAGGGAACGCCACCTTGCTGTTTGTTTTGACGATCTTCTGCAATCTAGGGAACGCCGTCGATCAATGTTGCTACATCTTGAGCCTTTTCTTGAATCATAGTGACAACCTTTCCAATCATAGCAAAAGTCGTCGAAGACTGTCCATCTCGTGCTATCTTCTCAAATCTTGGGTGACAACCTCCACAATCTTAGCGAATGCCGTCGAAGACCGCCCATCTCGTGCTATCTTCTCAAATCTTTGGTGACAACCTCCACAATCTTAGAGAATGTCGTCGAAGACCGCCCATCTCGTGCTATCTTCTCAAATCTTTGGTGACAACTTCCACAATCTTAGCGAACGCTGTCGAAGACCGCCCATCTCGTGCTATCTTCTCAAATCTTTGGTGACAACTTCCACAATCTTAGCAAACGCTGTCGAAGACCGCCCATCTCGTGCTATCTTCTCAAATCTTTGGTGACAACTTCCACAATCTTAGCGAACGCTGTCAAAAATAACTTTACTTGAAGTCATCCTCAATTGTTGCGATAATATTCTAAAGAAAATTACCGAAGACCAACACTTGTCGATCTTTAAAGCTCGCTCGAACTTTGCTTCCGCTATGCCTGTATGTCGGCGCTTTCGTTGCTTTGAACCTATACGTCAGTGCCTTTTCTGCTTTTGAGCCAATGCCTAGGCGCTTTAAGCTAAGTGAGACGATCTTTCATCAGGTCGATCACTTTACGTAATCAAGCTGATTACTTAATCATGTCAAATTGCTTAGAGGGGCTAACTGGCGTACCAAGGAACCCAAAATATATTGCAGAAGGCTAGCACAACCCCAACAGGTGGCTGGCTGCTTTAGCGTCGCTGAAAATCAATCAGCGCCAAATATATGGCATTAGCGCTAGGCGCTGGAATTGGCGTCTGGCGCCAAGCACAGAAAGTGACGCCAATGCCTAGGGACTGGCGCCAGCACGGATTCTTCTTTAAATTCAATTTTCCGTTTTATTTCTTGCTCTGTTCGTCGCGAACGCTGCGATAGGGTCTTCCCTGTTCTGCTGCACCTATATTTATTTTAACTATAGAACTTTACCAATATCTTTAATTATCTTAGGGTTGACCTAAGTTTTAACGTTGCTTGACTCATTGACTTGACACGACTCAAGGTATAACTTGATTCATGTGATTGACTGACTCGAGGTTGACTCCACTCGAAGTAAAATGACACGTGTGACTCAAATCAAAGTGATATAGCACGACATGACTCAAAGTGTACATGACTCGTGTGTGTATTGAATGTGATCGTGCGACTCGAAAAATGCAAAAAAGCAAAAATTTTCCATCAATTTGTGGAGGGTACCGACTTTCTCTTGAAAAAGAAAGATGTGAAAAAAAATCAAAAGTTTGAAGATGCATGTTGAATGAGCTTAGTCAAATGTTGTTTGATACTATCTCTCAAGGTTCAAAGATTAATCCATCCTATGCTATCTCAATGGTTGACTCAATGATGAAAGTATTTGGATAACTTAGGCACAAAGGCTAAACACTTCATACTTTGTGAGGCAATGATGATTACGATTGATGAGCGATTTTGATATGACAAGGCATGCTTCAGCGTTGTATTAAGATTTCATGACAAAGGGTTCCTAAGGGAAGTATATTTGGTCATGTATCTGTGCAGTGTGTGAAAGTGACACTAAAGCTAGGCCGCAAGAGCTAAATGTGTGGAAAAATATATTATTGAAAAGAGTCAAATGGTGGTGACTCTTAGGCTAGGTAAGCTAATAATGTAGGGATCAAGCCCCCAAGTCTAGCTCTAAATGAATAGGGATGAGCATTGGAGATCCCTTGATATGATCATGGTGCAAGTGTGTGAATGTG